ATTGTTTCTGTCTATGCCTCTTTCCTCTCGCATGGAAGTGCAAGTTATAATTTTGGAAATCATTTTTTTAGGGAGTGAGTGCAATTAGTTTTATTTGCAAAGCTTTGAGGTTCATAGCATTGAGGTTTTCTCTTGTGGTTGAGGATAAATTCATTTATTTTGTTTTTACAAATTGCTAATGAGATGGGTTTTAAAAGCAAAGTTGGGTACAGCTGGGAGACTTTTTCCTTTCTTTCTTTATTTATTTTTTTTAAATTTTCCTATCTTTTTTCAAATTTTACATGGATGCATTTTTTTAAAATTAAATGAAATTGAACCCCCATTAACCAGTTTATCGTATTAATTATATTAAATCAGTTTATTCAATGCATCTATTTAAATAAAAGCTTTAAAATGAATATGTTGTTTATTATTTTATCCGATAATCGCATAATGATATCTTACTATGCAACATTTTATTACATTTCCCACTTGCGCACAGCCTTGCCTATTTAGAGATAAATAATACACATGGAAGAAACACATTGAAAAATACACATTCGATAAAAATAGTTTTTATTCATACAAATTATGAACACGCCTTGCCTGAATAACCTTGCCTAAATTTTTTTATTTTTCATTACAATATCAAAACATTTAAAGTTTATTTTTTTAAAAAAAATTTATATGGAAATAATCATTTAGTTTTCGGTATCATCTTCCCTAGTAACACATTTTTGGCTAGACAGAAAAAAAAGATTAATGAAAAACAATCATAAGGGTTAGTAACCGAAGTTAGGATGGGGTAGAGCATCGTAAATTTATACAACAAAAAAACTTTCATTTGTATGGTACAATTAATTAAATATTGTATCCTTACAAACATCCTTTGTTGTGGAAAAACTAGTTACAATAAAATTTATAGCAAATATTTAAAAGATTAATTAGAATTGTTTTATGATCATTCATTCCTGATCTGTTTTGCAACCATTTTACACACAATTTTGAAAATAATGGTGTAAATAGTTAATAACTTTAGTAAATATTGAAATATGTTTTATACATTCTGCATTACAAAACTAATGAAAATGGATAAATACAGCTTGAATTTTTAATTACTGATAATGTTTTCTTCAGAATTTTTGGAAATTCATTTTTAATGGTTTTATACAGAAATTTGCTTTAGTTTCAATTTTTAATAATAAAATAATTTTAATTATTACTTATCGTTTCTCAATTTTTTTTAAGTTTTTGATTTGAACTAAAATCATTTATTTTCATTCTTACCAGAAAAAACTCAAAAACTTAGGCTAAAAAAGTCACTTTTAGCTTTCATTACTTTGTATCTAAAAATATTGAAGGAATCTTTTTTTTTCCACCAGCAAATTAACAGTAAAAATTATGTTATTTATTTTTTGTTTATTTATTATATTATTCAAGAATATCTTAAATATTTTTCAAAATGTAATTCTAAATCAATATAAATTACTATTGAGTTAAAATTATAATTTATATATTTCTGGGGAAAAAATAATATATTTTATACTTGAATGCTTAATTTGCTAAATCGATTAGCCTTATAAATTGATAATAATATGAATAAATAATTTTGAAATAAATAATCTAATATTCAATGGTTTTTTAGTTTTAAAAATCATTTTCTTTAAAGATGCCACCAATTATTATTAAAAAAAAAAACTTCGTCTGAATATTTACTGTTAGAAGCCAAAAAGTGCTTAGAAATTAAAACATAAAATAAATCAAATTTAATAATGAAATATTCATATATTCTAATCCATATTTATTTTATGTGTATCATTTAATTTTAAAATTTATTTTTGCCTTATTCTGTACTAAAAACTACAAATTTTAAGAAGGTGCCAAAATCAAAAAACAGTAAGGCCAGAAAATGGCCATTTCTTCAAAAAGTGAGGTAAATGTGAGTGAGGTTTAGAACTAGAGGTTTTTCAAAAAATGAAGTAAAAATAAATACACTAGCAACAACTGAAAGTCACAGTCATGGAGATGGAAGTTTCATTCAAAGCTAAATATAAAATTATAGTAAGAAAATAAACTGGGTTGTTTATGCAAAAATTTATTTTCTTTTGAAAACGTCAATGTTCAGAAAACTGGTCGTAATCTTTACACCTTAAAATTCACGTTCCCTCCTAGAGTTTAAAACTCATTAAGCAGGACGTTTGAGTTTTACTTCAAGGAGAAAGGTCTCTTAAAATAATGAAGAATACACACATTAATGAATATTTATTTTATGAAAATTTGTAAATTCAATTTGATCTCAAATTGGGCCTGAACTTTTACAATTATTTGGTATTATGTAAAAATTTTAATTTTCTATAGATCAAAAAAAAAAAGATGATAATTTTTATTAAGCTTAATTTAAAATAATTTTTAAGTAAAAAAAAAATTAAAAACTTACATCTTGGACAGGAGGTTGGTTTTGATATTGAATTGCAATTTTCATCACTTCATCAGGAGCAAACTTTTTATCATTGCTTTGATGTTTCACTTCAATAGTTTTAGCAGCTGGTAATTCCTCAAATAGAAACATTTACAATCAAATGATAATAAATCAAGAAAAATTACAACAAATATCCACAAAAAAAATTTTTTTTTTTTTTTTTTTGAAAAAAAAAATGTGATGATAAAAATATATATATATACATATATGCAGTAAACCTGCAGGTTTATGAAGACAAAATTTCACTCAAACTTTATGCAGTGTTCTCCCTAAGTGTTTTTAGAAGGGTGTCCCGCCCCACGTGCCCTTTGATCCTTATAAATGGGTTTTTCCTGCCATTTTCATCAAATCAAGTCACCATACCTTTTATTTTATTTTTTAGGAAAAGATTCTTTTTTCAACCACCTGTTTTCATGAAAAGTCAATTTGTGATTTAATTAGACATTGATAATTATTTAACTTTAATTTTAAACATCATTAATTCATTTTAGTAAGATTTTTCTTATGTGATCTAGTTGAAATTCACATGATATTTTGTCAAAGAGATATTCACATACCTTTATTTGGGGGTATGTCTATTAATGAATTTTTTAGTGATTTTAAATTTTACCATTATTTGTTTTAAATTAATACCTTTTATTTAAAAATGCATTTCTAAATGTTTAGTTCCTTATAATTTTCAGTTAAAAATATAAAAAAAGTTTTAGAAATTGCTAGTCAATGAAACTTTTTTTTTGTTTATTATTATTATTATTGAAGAAAATTTAAACACAGATATTGTCTTACAGCTTGCCCTTAATTATTTTTCAAAAGCTTCCAATTTTTCTTTTATTTAGGTAATGAGTGAGAACTTCTTTGTGAAATATACAAAGAAAACTGCATAAGATGGCAATTTAAACATTGAGGACCTAATTCAATTATGAAATAATCTTACACATGATGGTGGTAAGTGAGAGCCCATTTAAAACTCAAAGTCCCCTTTTTTTTTTTTAGAGGAAGCATCATATCCTTTTTTAATCCTAGTGAGTTTTATAACAAGGAGGCAGTAGAAAGCACTCAGAATTCGTAAAACTCTCATTTGTGTGTCTATGAACTTTACAAACATGCTCTAGTTCATAGTTTCTTCATGAAATTATAAGTCTATATTTAGTAAAATAATTTTTTTAAAAATTGCTAAATTATAATTATTTAAAAATTTATCAAAAAATAATGTTTGATTCATAATTTTCAAAAATTTAGACAATCGTTTAAAAGAACAGTTACACCTGTATTACTAGATTGTTTGGATCAGATTCTCAATTTTTTAATGTATGATTCACATTAATTTTTATTTAAATGAAAAAGTTAGTGTAAAATAAAATTTGCACAGTTTATATAATAATTTCATTGAAAATATTAACGTTTATTTGACTCTAAATAGGTTTACATAAAAAAAGAAGATGAAATATCCATTCTATCAGATGTTTGGAAAAATTAAACTTTTTTAACATTATACAATCGGTAGCAGTTTTCAGAAAGTGCTCAGCCTGATAAAAAGTCTTACAACTCGCCCATTTACTATTACATGAACAAAAACTTTACTTTTTATTCTCACTGTGAAAATGTTGCCGAATCAATCCTTAATACAATCAATCAATCATAATAATTCTAATGTAAAATCATTTTACATTAAAATTGTAACATAACGTGCTTAACTAAAAATTAAATAAAACTGCCAGTACATTATCAAAAGAATTAGAAATTTGTAATTCCTAAAAAATAAAGAAATTTTTAATCAAGATTATTACAGTATCTCTTCATTAAAGTTTATATAGGAATTTTTTTTACTTTTTTTAATCACTATGGAATACCATAATTTTAATTTTTTTTTTATTAAAATCCCCTGAATATCAAGGGATCAGACAACAAAAAGTCTGATTTTGTAAAGAAAATGTTGGAGAAACATATTTTTCTTTAAATTAGACAGTTAACCTATAAATTAGCTAACTACTGATAATTTTTTTTATTATTGAAACTAATTTAGTATTGATGTAAATAGCAATTTTTTTACCCTCCCACCTGGAACAGAATAATACCAAAAATGTATTATGAAATTCTTACATTAATTCAAAAAATATAAATTTAAGTTATTAAAGATAATTAATAAATTATTTCATAACAATTGATTTGATTTTTTTAAAAACAAAAGATTGGTAATGCGGTATTTTAATATTAGAAAGTAATTTAATTAAATTGTATCAAATCAAAAGAAATAGGCAGAAGTTTTTATAAATTTTTTTTTTTTTTTTGCTATATTGTTTTCAATGAAAAGACTTATACAAAATACTCACATGGGTAAAAGTTGAATAGAAACAAAAGTCAGATAATTTTGAACAAAATTGTACAAAAAAAAAAAAAAAAAAAAAAAAAANAAAAAAAAAAAAAAAAAGACAGAGAGAAAGAGATAAAAGAATCAGAAAAATAATAAAAAATTATTGTTATGACACAATCTGAAAATGAATCTAATAGTTATTTATTAAACTGAAAGAATCAAACAAATAGATAGTAAACAAGCAATATAAAAAAGTAGTAGAATATATTTTATAAACTGAATAGAACAAACTTCTTGGTCAATAGTACCTACAATTTCCTTATTTCACTTAACCTTCCGTTAGTTGCGCATTTGTTTCCGACATGGTTAATCGCGTTGCACCTATGAGGTGTTTCTGATTTTTTGAAAGCCAAATGAAATTTAGTCTAGTTTAAATAATTAATTGCTACCAATTTAAGACTCTTTAGAGAGATAAATATCAAAAAACTTATTTAGTTTGAAAAATTTATTAAAAGGCAGTATCACAAATAATTGCACAACATAAAGAAAAACAAAGGAAAGTAAATTTGTAAAAAAAAAAAAACATTAAGAGTCTTGTATATAGGAACAACTTATTTCAATATCACATGTTAATACAAAAATATTATTTCAGAGGCTGTCTGATGCCACCTTCATGTGAATAAGAATTTTTGCAAGAGGTCCTTACAAATTGTTGTTACATGACTCAAACATCATAAGTATTTTCCTCAAGCAGCACAAGTACACTTTGTATTTTTTCGTTGTTTATTTTTTTGACATGGCTCGCACAATTTTCTTTTCTTGTCTTGATTTTCAGACAGTGAATTTTCAGCGGCTGGAGAAGTTTGTTTTTGCCAATCGAAACCGAAGATAAATTTTTCTTGCTTCCGCGTCGGATCTCTTCCTCCGTCACAAGATGTTCAGTCAATTGATGCAAGAAGGTTCTGCGGTTTTTCACTCCGTAACAATTTTCTGTGTATATAACTTGATCATTTATACCTGCTACGTTGAGTAGGACAGAAAATGAGATAAAATATATATATTTAATACACAAAAATATTATATCCATAATACTTGCGTCAATGGTCGCGCTGCACCAGAGGGATGATTTGAGAGGTTCAAACTCTCCTTCGACATGTTCAAAGGTCAGTTTTACACAGACATTTGAGTAATACAAAGTTAGGAAGATAACATTAGACTCGACCCCCGAAACATCTATTGACGGCAAAGGAGGTGGAAGTGCAGTAGCACCTGTGAGGGTGCACATGTGAGGTGTGCATGTCTAACGGAAGGTTAAATAAACACTACGAAAACTTTTTTATCTATGAATATATTAAGAAAAATAACATCGAAAATATAATTACTTTTAGTAGCTTTTTTGATGTTGTTCTGCCCCCACTAGATAAAAATATTTTGTGATTTTGGATTACTGCTTCCGATAAGAAGTACTTCATGATAGTTTTTGAAGCAATATCATGTTTATCCTCTTCTACAAAAATTAAATAGACACATACTTAATAAAAATAAGATAAGATAAATATACACAAGGACATGAAAAAAAAAACATTTTTAATTTGTCATATACTATTTCTATAGATATGGCGATTACCTTTGTAACTATAACTTTAAAAGCTAGCATGATTAATATCTTGATATAAAAGCAACAATATACCTTTATCATAGTTGTTAATACCATAAATGCAAATTTAATTAATTATACAATTATTAATATCAATGATTTTTAGTTAAAGCTAAGTCCTAATAAGAGAAAATAACATTTAACTGACCTATTAAACATATTGTACCAACTGGTAATCCTCCACCTATAAAGTAAACAAAAATTATGTAACATTTATAGCCTAATAGTATATTTTCTTAAATATTTTAACAATGTAAGGGGATATTTCCGTATCGTGATCTGTGACGCCAACAAGATTCGCCAAGGCGCGATTCAACGCAAGCGATCCAGGGAGCACATCAAAGAACATAATTGTCGGCAGGGAAGGGGCGGAGCTTCAGTAGGGAGGCTGAACAAGAGTCTCGTGTCACATGATTCTACTTTAAACTCTGACGTCGTTGCTCAAGCGTCATATATCACATGACTCTTAACATTACACTTTACGTTTACAATGGATTAAACTTATTTCATTATTTAGTTATTTATTTTTCTTAGTAATATTTTCCTTTTAAATCCCTCTTGTAAATAATACATT